TCTGGGAGTTGAAGTCCACAAGTCTTAAAGTTGCCAAGGTTGGACACCCCTGATCTAGACAGTCTCCACCCTTTTAATGTGACACTTCTTTACACCACCTTTTCTAACTTAACAGACAACCTTAGATGGGAGTTTCTCAGACTTGAGGCTAAGCAACAATTACAGCTAATCCTCGACTTACACCAGATTGTTCTAAATGTTACAACAGCACCGAAAAAAAAATGACTTATGACCATTTTTCACATTTATGACCATTGCAACATCCCCATCAAAATTCAGTTGCTTGGTCACTGATCATAGTTATGACGGTTGCAGTGTCCCGGTCATGTGTCGCGTGATCACCTTTTCAATCTTCCGACAAAAGGAGTCAATGGGGAAGCCAGATTCATTTAACAACCATGTTACTAACTTAACAGTTGCCGTGATTCACTTAACCACTATGACAACAAAGGTTGTAAAATGGGGGAAGCTCACTTAACAAACATCTTGCTTAGCAACTTAGTTCAATTGTGGTCGTATGTCGAGGACTACCTGTATTGCGAATATAAGCAATACTCCTGTTTTGGAAAATTCTAGATCTCAATATAATTGCCATAGACTGAGACATCAATGGTTGGGTTTCCATTCTCAAGGCCACTGAGGTGGGGACGCAGCCTTTACACATGAAAGGGTCTTCGGACTCTTAATTAAACCCTGTTATGGAAATTCAAAGTACTATACCGATTTTGTGTTTCTCATCTTCCTTTGTCCTTCTGTCTCTTTTTAGTTTTACCCTGGATTTCCCGGAATGGCGGTAAGATCTGCATTCCAACATACTCAGGTTACTAAGATCCAAGATTCTACTCAGGCAATGTCATGTTATCCATTAGTCGGATGAGTAGGACTGACTTTTTAGTTAGGAATAAAAGATATCCAACAAAGATAAGGAGAAAGTAAGGTGGACTAAAAAAAAAAGGACAACTTAATTTCTGAAGTACAAGTTCTGGTGCACAAGTTTTAGGGCCTACATCAGCAGTGGGATCCTACCTTAGTTGCTACCGGTTCGGTGAGTGATCGTGCATGCACATGCACCCCTAACAAGCCAATCGGCTGAGAGGATGAAGAAATAAAAAGCTAGGAGCGACCCTCCCAACCTCCCATGCGCTTATCCTCCCAGCTGATCCTCAGAGGCTTGTTTTCCTCCCCTCAGCCTTTTTTTTTTTACTACCAGTTCGGTTGAACTGGTCCGATCCAGTAGCATATTACCACTGGCCTATATCCACCCAAAGACATTTGGTCCAGCGCTACAGAACCTCCTTTCTAGATTAATGACAATCCTTTCCAGACCACGTGGCTATTTTTCACATAGAGGTCTTGACTTCATTTCCTGTTCTCCTAAACATACCTAGAGTTTTGTTTTGGCCCTTTTAAAAAGATATTTTTGTGTCCTCCAGATCATTCAAAACATGGTTTGGCACCTTAATTCTTTCCTTAGCACCAACCATACGTATAAAACAGATAAAAGAGGAGTCCGTGATATGATGAGGAAAGTATTTCATTAGAAGGAAGGATGACTTGCATAAGGAGAAAACCATGTGAAATGCAACGTGCATAATTGTTCAGAGCAGACACTCCAAGTGGAGCATATTTGTCAATTTTGTAAGGGAGTGGAATGCAGATCAACCACATTGATTAGTTTACTGATAACGACTTGTTGCAATAATCTAATATTTACTCTATTCCTAGGGCTTTCCACCTATCCTAGGGGTAAGTAGTTTTTGTTATCTACATAAAACTCACCTTCTTGTATGTATCCAGCTTAATCAGTGCTAGAAATAGATTCCTGGCCATGTTATCATCCCATCCCACCTCCTTCTCCACCTACTGAAGCAAGTGCTCTCTATGCAGCTTTTAACTTATGGTACAGGTAGTCCTCTACTTATGCCCACGATTGGGTCAATTGCTAAGGTGATTGTTGAGTGAGTTTTGCCCAATTTTATTGCCTTTTTTTGCCATTTCTGTTAAGAACATTACTGCAGCTGTTAAGTGAATCACATGGTTGTTAAGTGGATCCAGCTTTGCCCATTGATTGTACTTGTCGGAAGTTGACTAGGAAGGTTTCAGGTGGCAAACACATGCCTCCAGGATATGTCAACCGTCATAAACACATGCTAATTGCCAAGCACCCAAACTGTAATCACAGGTGACGTTCATACGTACAAGGACCAGTCGTAAATCACTTTTTCAGTGCAGCTGTGACTTCGCACACTGGCTGAATGAATAAATAGTTCTGATATCAGAAGGACAATATCATGCTAGCACCACCATTTTCAGTGGAAATTTCTATGCAGGAAAAGTGATGTGTGGAAGGCCAATAATTTTGCCCTTGTACCAACAGCCGAGACTTTTCTAGACCATGGCCAGACACAGAATAGTAATAGATTTGGAAGGGACCTTGGAGGTCTTCTAGTCCAGGAGACCCTACACCATGTCGAGCCTTTTTGAAAGCCTCCAGTAACGGAGCACCCACAACTTCTGGAGGCAACAACTTTAGTACAACTTGTACTAAAAATATAGGGAGGGGTTAGAAGCTAGCAATGTATTCCTCTGAAAATATGAAGCAAGAGAATTTTAGAATTAGTTCTGACTTGATGGCGATGTGTACACTCTTGACTGAGGAGCAATGACTGGTGCTTAGTTTTCCTTCCCAACGCTCTGGGATAAGGAAGGGTAATCCCACTCCTTCAACATTCCGGGGGAAGACAAAGGACTGGGAAATGAAAATGGAGATAATGACCCAATTTTGCAAGCATCCTTTCAGTTCTTATGGCACTTGTAGACTATTGTAATAATACAACCATTCACGGTTTAATTTCTAAAGTCTCAGGCAGGAGAGGATTAAAACCTGTAAGCTATTAGCACATGCAACCCAAGCAGTTGCTTAGTAGCACTTCCATAGCATCTTTCCATAAATGCAAAATGCAAACCGGCTTCTCCAACCAGGTGTCTTCTCAAATGGCTTGGATGAGAAACCCTAACTGTCCCACAGAGCATCCCGGCTTGGGGAAAGCTAACCGCTTGGAAGATCTTCCTGGACCTCATCAGCTATGACCGTAGCATCCAGGTGAAGCTCTCCCAGCCCCCCACCCTGCCTACCATCTCAAACAGGGAGCTGTGGTTTCAGTTTTCAAAAAAGACAAGAGATTATTAGTAAGGATTGTGGTACATAAAGATAGCATGTTGTTTTACCTAAGACAAAGAGCATCTTTTTAAGATGGTGAAAGCTACTCTATTTATTGACCTTTATTATGAGAAATAAACAAATGCTTTTTTCCCCCAACAGAAATAGAATCCCTATAGACTCTCTCGGTATGTATCAAATATTTTCTGGTATTCTATTATATTCTTTGGTTAGTCTATTAAATGTTCGTGGTCTACAAGATTTGACACAAAACTTTGGGGAAGGGGTCCTTTTTATGACTCTATATCTATCTATCTATCTATCTATCTATCTATCTATCTATCTATCTATCTATCATCTATCTATCTATCTATCATCTATCTATCTATCTATCTATCTATCTATCTATCTATCTATTATCTATCTATCTATCTATCTATCTATCTATCTATCTATCTATCTATCTATCATCTATCTATCTATCTATCATCTATCTATCTATCTATCTATCTATCTATCTATCTATCTATCATCAAATATCATCTATCAACCATAGTATTTTACTATAGTTAGATTTTTCAGAGACTTTTCTCTGCATAACCAAGTAGTAATGTCCATGCCTAAATGGCTGTTGTTTGTGAAGGCAATCAAAGCATATAGCATTAGATCCCAGGAATTTCCTTCAATACAGTACTGCACTGCAAGAAAATATGTAATATGAAAATACTTTATGAGTGGCCCCAGAAATTTTGTCCAACTCTAATTGTAGATGCCAGAAATTGAACCTGGTATCTTGTGCATTCTCCACATTGAGTAGTACTCCAGCCATATAATGGCTAGGCTTCTTTACCCCATTGCCTATCACTGCTTCTTTCAACCGCAATGAAGCTAAAACTAGATGTCTGAGCTTTCAACTCTCATAATCCATCACTCAGTTCTGGAATACAAAGTCCAATCTATTTAAAAAACACCAGATGATGGAAGGCTACATTACAAGTAAAATTATTCCAGAATTTTTTATTTGTTATCATGTGTCACAGGGAAACTATCCATGTATTTTGGAACTGTGTGAACAAAACTTTGCTACCTGGATGTGGCACTATAAAAATCAACAGTTGCTTAACTATAAAATATTTTCTTTAATTATTTCTAAAGGTGACAATGAAAATGTAAGAGATCATCCAAGAAGACTTACTTATTTCTAATTTCCTGCTACAGTTGCCAAACCACAGCCTTAGTGCATTCTAAATGTCATATTTACTCTAAACGTTTTTTAAAAACTGTCTTCATTTCATTGATAACAATGTACATTTCTATTGTGAAGTTATGTTCTGAATAATATGTAAAATCCTCTAATAAAAGGCAATGGTAACTTTGGTGAAGCACTGAATTCTCTTTCATCTTAAACTTACGGAGTTTTTAACAGAAAGCATAAGTTTTGATTTGCCATTTTACCCGATTTCATTTTACTGAAATGTCTCACAGCTTCTAAACTAATATATTTTGTTGGGTTTATTGCACAAATGCATTACCACTCTAATAAAAAAAAAATACCTAAGTAAATAATACAAACCGGTGTAATACATTTATGTTTATGGAACTGAAATGAGCATCATTTATTCTCTCTGAAGCAAAAAGAAATGTTCTAATTTTTAGTTTGCACATTTTTACTGCTCCTGTTCATTGCATCATTGCATAGCAGCTCACAAAAGCCTAACTGCAACACAATGTCAAGTCATCATTCTAGAGAGATGTTTTTATTCTCAAAAGGCACACATTTAAGCTGTTCAATGAGCTGACGACTACAGAGATTTTTGGCAGCTGTAAAGATCTTCCAACAATATTACTGGTGGATCACAAGAAAATCAAACTGACTCATTTATTTTCTGTACAAAACAGGTACACAACAGATGCACCCAATACTTTAGTAGAATTACGTAATTAAAAAAGCCATAATGTAACCAACACCAAACATGTTTACGTTCCAATAATTTCATCCCAAGAATGTCAGAAAATGTGTGAAATCTTGCATCTTTAAATCATGCACCAACAATGTCCTAAAAAGCATTTTCTTCCCATTCTCTTACTACCTTACCATCTGAAATGATAGAATTTAATTTATGGTTTGATGTTACGGCAACAAAAGTTAGTCTTCAACAACATCACAGCAACAAAAGTTAGTCTTCCTTCCAGTGAGCTCCCCTTTTCTCTGCTACAAGTCGGACAAAATCAGAGTGGCTGGCATACAGTGTAAGTTTTTCGCTAATATCCACCCATTTCACTTTCCCAGCATCGTCTCCTGCTTCCAGGTGTAAATTCTTCATGGCTTCACCTATTAATTCAAAGAGAGATATTGTGGAATTAATCTGATCTCTTGCCTCTTTCTATTCTACAAAATGGGCTGGCATTTCATTTCCTTCTCCTTCTAATCTGTACCAGCTTCTACCACAAAGCATGGAACCAAAGCATTATTGCTGCTGAATTTTCTGTTATGACTGACATCTCTTAGAGCAGGGGTGCGTGAGGACGCTGGCTCAAGAATTCTGGGAGTTGAAGTCCACAAGTCATAAAGGGCGCCAGAATTCCCTACCTCTGTCTTAGAGCTACCATGTTTCTCACAAAATAAGGCCGGGCCTTTTTTTTTGACACCCGAAAAAACGGCTAGGCCGTCTTTTCGGGGGTGACTTAATTCCCCCCCCCCTTGCATCCTCGGGTGGGCAGGCAGTGATGGCTTGGATGTTGACCTCGATGTTGGTGGGGCACTTCGTTTTGGGAGACCTTCCGCCACCATTGCTTTCCCTTCTCCCTTGCTGCTGCGGCATTTAGAGCAACGCCGTGGCGTTTGCCACAGCCACGTGCGGCCAGCCAGGGCTCCTCCCTGCAACCGGAGCCCAGCGGAGACACTCGGCTTCAGGCGCTCCTGTCGCCGCCTTCCCTTTGCCTTCGAAGGTAAAGCCAATTCTTTTAAAAACGACACCCTACTACAACAAAGCCTCCCCTGCCCGAGAGGGCAGCCCAACCCCACGTGGGGAGGCGAATCTCCCGGGGCTGCAGCGCAGGATCGGCCCACCTCGGGAGAAGCGCCCAGCCACCATCCCTGCCTGGCGCCAGGCAGAGCGTGAAAAGCTTCGCCTGGGGCGCCCAGTGCAGCTGACAGGCAGGCCCTCCTGCCCGGCAGCGGAGCTCTCACCAAGGCAGCGAGCGCCACCGGGAGAGGCTGCCTGAGGCAGTGACAGCGCCCACCCGTCTGCAGACAGGGAGGCGAGGTGATGGCAGCGCTGCTTCCCTGGCCGGCGGAGAGAACCCGAAGCCGCCCGTCCTTTCCACCCCTCGCCCAGCCCGTCCCCACGCATCTCCAAATGTGCCGGCAGCTCCAAATGCTGCAGCGGAACGGGCATCAGGCAGAGGCGCTGACTCGACGGGGCTCAGCTCAGAGGACGCGGTGCAGGTCGTCGCCTTGCCTCCCTGTCCATGGATGGGTGGGCGCTATCACTGCCTTGGGTGGCCTCTCCCGGTGGCCCCTTCGGGTTCGCGCTGGAGGGACTTGGGAAGGAAGCCAAGCTTGGGTCGGCCCGGCTCTTTCGCTTGGCAGGCGGGCGCGCACCCATGGCTTGCTTTCCCGGCTCTGCCCAGCCCACACAGCTCTGGCGCGGTCCTGACGGGATGAGCAGAGGGTCAGGCGAGGAGGTGCTCACTGCCTTGCTGAGAGCTCTGCTGCCGGGCAGGAGGGCCCGACTGTCAGCTGCGCTGGGCACCCCAGGCGAAGCTCTTCGCGCTGTGCATGGCGCCAGGCAGAGATGGCAGCTGGGTGATTCTCCCGGGTGGGCCGATCCTGCGCTGCAGCCCTGGGAGATTCGCCTCCCCACGTGGGGTTGGGCTGCCCTCTCGGGGCTTTGTCGTACTGGTAGTAGGGTGAAGGCGAAGGGAAGGCGGCGACAGGAGCGCCTGAAGCCAAGTGTCTCCGCCAGGCTCCGGTTGCAGGGAGGAGCCCTGGCTGGCTGCGCATGGCTGCACCAAACGCCGCAGCATTGCTCTAAACACCGCAGCAGCATTGGGAGAAGGAAAAGCAATGGTGGCGGAAGGATACGAAGTGCCCCACCAACGCCGAAGTCAATGCAGGCAGCACCATACCCAGGCATGCAACAAAAGTACTTCCTAACGGCAAGCCCACCCCCATTCCCCCCCATTTCGCATGTTTAATATAGGCCTTAATTTGGGGGAGGGGCTTAATTTGATTTTATGCTGATAAAACATGCTGGGCCTTCCTATTGGTGGAGGCCGTATTGTTGGAGAAACACAGTAATAGAAATTTTTTGATGATGGATTGCCTGTCAATTATCTCCCAAAATTGGACTTAGTAGAAAGAGCCATAGCTTTGCAACAAGAGACCCTGAATTCAATCTCTGACATCCTAACTAAAATACAGGAGAGTCGCTACTTACAGCTATTTGTTTAGTGACCATTTGAAGTTGCAACAGCATTGACAAAAGTGACTTGCGGCTGTTTTTTCACATTTACGACTGTTGCAACATCTCCATGGCATGCATTTATGATGGCTGCAGTATCCTGGGGTCACATGATCACCTTTTGTGATCTTCTGACAAGTAAAGTCAATGGGGAAGCCAGATTGATTTAACAACCGCATTGCTAACTTAAAAACTGTAGGTTTTTTATTGTTAATTTTTTATTTTATACTTACAGTAATTCCATCTTTCATTTCAACAGTGTGTCGACTGGGTACACATGCCTTGTGTTAACAATTATAATTAATACTTTTCTTACCAATATAACAATAATCATATTTTCTTTATAACCATTATTTCTTATATCTTATTTTTAACAATCTAATTTCTCTATATATTCATCTATTCCATTTTAACTTAGCTTAAAAAATGTAGTTGTTAAATGAATAACAACGGTGATGAGAAAGGTCATAAAATGGGGCAAAAATCCAGAATGGGATTTCGCCATGGCCAATTGGCCATGGCTGATTTATCATGGGACAATCCAACAATTCAATATAACTAGTTAAAATAATTTTAAAAGTATTTTAATTTTTGTTATTCGTGTTACATTTTGTGCCTCCTTTGGCACCCTTTCTTTAATGATTCTGTTCCACCATTTCTTCAAGTTGGCCATAGCGAGTTATCCTAGGCCAGGAGTAGGGAAACTTGGCTCTTTTATCACTTATGGACTTCAATTCCCAGAATTCCTGAGTGAGCCATAAAAGGTTCCCCATCCTTGGCCTACTGGTTTTTAAGTTGTGGTGGAAATCAATTTTTTACTTGAATGGGACTGTTTAATATACAAATGTAGGACATATGTATATATAATATACTGTACATACATTTGTATATTAAACAGTCCCATTCAAGTAAAAAATTGATTCCCCTCACAACTGAAAAACCAGTAGGCCAGGGATGGCTCACTCAGGAATTCTGGGAATTGAAGTCCATAAGTGATAAAAGAGCCAAGTTTCCCTACCCCTGTCCTAGACCTACAAAAGTCATTGTCTTGCTTAGCAATGGAAATTTTGGGCTCAATGTTGGTTGTAAGTCAGGAATTACCTATATCAATATGGCCAATACAGATCTAGATGGAAGAAAGTATTGAAGCAGAACTAGACTGAGAATTCTTGTGTCTCAATCTAATATAAAACATGAGATCAAAAGCCTGTTTCCTGAACTGTCTGCCATTAATACAAAAATAGAACTAAGTCAGTACAAAGATGTTGTGTGATATTATAATCAACACTGCAGAATTATGATCAAAGATTTTATTACGTAGGCCTCGTTTCTCACCAGATTCATCATGATAGTTTACCGCTTCTGTTTCCATCCAAGCATTGTCAGTATTGCGAGGATCATCCACATATCCCTTATAAGCCTTTAAAAAAAAAAAAGCAAAATACATGACTTTTAGGACAAGGTGTTACATTTTATTTGCTGCTGTATTTGTTTATTAATCAGATTTATATCCCACCAACATAATCTTGGCAACTCACAAATAAGAATAACAATATCTCGATATAGACAGCATCTGGTATCAACCCCCATATAACTTTCCGGAAAAGCTCAGTTTTCAGCAGTTTCCAGAAAGTGGTTAATGTTGGAGCCAAATGAATAGCCTGTGGGAGGCTATTCCAGAAAGCCTATTAAGCAAGATGTGACCTCCAAGAATTGCTGATCTAATCTGAAAATGGACAACAGCCACTTTCTTCTGACAACATCAAAGTAGTTAGACTTGGGCTGACTCCAACGAAGTGCAGATAACCCGGCGCCTAGTCATAGTAACTTTATCTGTTAAACCACCCGTGCCCAAAACTTCATGTTAGATGTTAAATAACGGGGGAGTGGGAAACTGAGCCATAACCAGGCTTTCCTCCATAACATCACTGACTGGAATAAAACCACTGTAAAACAGGGCCTCCAACTTCAAGCCAATTTAACAATCTAAATCTGTTGTGCTGAGAGAGCTAAATGTTGCCATTTTACCTACTATTCAGAGTTTATAGGTGGAGAAATTAATAACGTTCCAATTTACTTGAAGAGTCTCAGCAATCTTTCCATTTAATATTTAAAGAGCTTAAAAACACAAGATGATCATTTACCACAAAGTGATCCTGACTGAAGAGTCTATTCAGGTGTTTCTCCATCTCTTCTTTCTCAGCCTTAGTTTTCTGTAAGGAGTTCAAGGCCTCTTCACTAAATTCTCGCTTTAGAGCAGCAGATAATTTCTCCCCTGGGTCTACCATTCCCTAAAGGAAGATCATAATCTGTTATATAATGTTCAGGCACATAATCAATAACAGCCATTGGGAAGGGATGGGTGGGGTGATACTGTACATATTGTAAGATCAACACAAAGGTAAGAACTCCCATATCCTGAACACTGAACACCAGATTCCAATGTGATAGGTAGGTAATTAGCATCACTTGCACAATGTTGACATGACATACATGATGTGTGTGGCCCCTCTTGGATGCCTATGTTCAGGAAATACTTTGATTAGGTATATATTTTCCCTTGTAGGACCATGAATGGGTTTGTAGAAGAGGGTGATTTATATATGTGTTGTTTATAACAAATTTATAATTAGAGGCTGATTCTTACTCTGCGAACAGAATGAAGGGGGAACTTGTTTATTTGCTTTCAGAAATTGCATATCTCTCTTCCAAATTGCAATTTCGCAGGGCAGCTTATAAGTGTTTCTGAACAAATGTCATTAAAACCATTAAAACAGTGGGAGGTACAATGTAGCTCCGGCACTCTTGTTCACAAGTTATTACCACAAAGAGGATTGTCTTGTTGCAGACAATTTTGCAAATTGTCTTTTACGTGCTTAGCTAATACATAAACTGGAACAAACACAAACATATACTGAACACACATATTTCAGACATGAGGATATTTTTTTCTGAAAACAAATTATCTCAATTGTTCTTCTTCTCACCCCAGGAATGGCCCATTCTCCACAGTCCTTTCTTTTGATTGCAATAAACTGTAAGATGTTTTTACCAGATACCGGATGAGCTGTTTTATTGCCACTGCCATCTCTCTTCCATCTGAAAGTTGCACCGAGAAGATCGTTAAGCCCTCAAAATTCAAGAAAAAGTTACAACTGACAAATAGCACATAGGTCCAGGGAGCACATGTTGGCATAATCTTCTACCCACCATAAGGTAAAATTCATTGCATAAAGTTGCAGCTAGAGCATGTAAATAAAGGAAGAGTTAGCAGGGACAGAGAAGAGTGAATATTTGTTTCAAAGTTCATTCCCTTAATGTTAAACCATGACTGGGAATTAGCATATGTACAAACCTAGAACTCTAGATTTGAATGGGCAGAAAACCTAAACCAGCTATGATGTCAATGAAGGCTCAATCATCATGCTAAAGGTGCCTAAAGGTTGAACCATGGCAACTGGACCAATCTTTGTTTATCTGAGATGTTTCATTGCTCATCCAAGCAACCTCATGAGTCAGAGCAAAATTAGTTAGCCAAAGAGTCAGAGAATTGCTGAAAAGTGCCAACTTTTGCTACACCAACCTCAAGGGTTTCTCTCCAAAATTAAAGGTTCAACCTTTAAACCAGCCATGGATTACTATGATATTTCATGACAAAGTACAGTAATAGTTTCAAGTTTTTTTAAAAAAATTTTTTTTTAATGTAGACCTAAAAGCCCATGTGGGCAAAGGAATCATGATTTTTTTTACAGATAGAATACAGTATTTGTTGCTCATTATTGAACAAATGTTCTGTGAGTGTTTTTTGTTTGTTTGTTTTTTTGCAGCCACTTCATTACCAAACTAGATAACATAATCAGCGCTAGTAAGGGAGTAGGGTTTGCTCTCATTTTATTTACTAGTGGCTTGCCCTGTCAGTGTTGGTGGGTCCTGTAGTTTTACATACTCCTTCTTAAGACTGCAAAGAATTCTAGATCAGCGGTGTTATTGAGGGCTGCAACAGGGTTGTGTTTGACCTCAGGAGGCTGGGATGGGTATGGCCAGGGTGGGCCATTTTTGCTGTTTCCAGCAAAGCACCTTATGGGCCGGATCCAGCCCCCGGGCCTTGAGTTTGACACCCCTGTTCTAGATGATTAACATCATCTGTGTTATAGTTGAGGCCTTTCTGTCGAATATTGTGTTCTTCAGTAAATAGTGAGCAGCTGGACACGTAGACTACCTATTTGGGCTCAGGTGCCTCTTTCATTCTGGGATTTCGTTTGAGTAGTGTGGTTTGTAGTTTGGCTTTCCTTTTTTCCAGCACAGTTCTCGGAAGCAGTCTTGATGGTGGTTTCTATGTGCTCTTATTTGTTCTAGTTGTCCCTTGAGGTTTGCCACGTGGTGCTTTCTTGGGCATCCTGCTGTGCAATTTATTGTGGGCTTGTCTCTGACACTGATGGGAAGGGCGTGCTGTCATAGACATTTGTGCTAATGCTAATCAACTAGAAGCCTCAGAATTTAAAACTACAGGATGATCCAAGAAAGCATCAGACAAACTATCACCTCATAGACTAGAAGAAGATGAAAACCAAAACCAACTCAAAATAGAGCACACAGCAGCCTTCCAAAACCTAAACAAGGACCAAACTATCACCAACCTACCAGCAGCCGAAAGCCAAACTAAGTTATCAAGGATGGGTCACAATATATACAAAAGTGAACAAATTACTAGAAGTCAAATAAACTTACATCTCAGGGAACACCAATCCAATACTGTTAGGAATATAAGTCACCCAAAAGGTATTGGGTTAGAAATATATAAACCAGGATAAACATTTTAGTACTATATCTTTAAGGGAATGCAAGAGCATGCAATTGGGTGTGGTTTCTCAAACAGCCATGAGATGGAGCCAGAAACCTGGTTTAGTCTTAGTCTCAGAAGAGAGTGTGTCTGAGTGAGTATCTCTGTTTCCTTCTGTTGGAAAGTATTGTCGTTCCTCCATTTTTCCTAATTGACTGATATTACTGGATTTGATATAAGTCTGATACTGAACTGTTTTTGACACTGGAATTTGATATTTCAATTATCCCTGGATTGAAAAACTGACTGATTTACCTGTGAATGACTTTGGGACTGCTTATTTTGGACTTTGCTTAAACCTTTCTGGAAGTAAAAACCTACATTTACTGTACAGTGTATCTGTGTGCTCTGTGTGTATTATTCCAACACTACTCTCTATATGTCTCCCTGTATGCGCTCATTCTCCTAACGGGGAATTACCTCAAGAAATACAAACTAGACAACTGGATCACGAGAACCCTTGACCAAGAAAGGTCAAATCAACGAACAGGAATAGTGGTGGACAAAAAGCAGTGAACCCATCCTCCCACGTTTCTATGGATGTCCCAAAGCATACAAACCAGACATACCTCTCTATCCAATTGTATCATTATCAGGGATCCCAACCTACAACATCATTAAAAAATTGATTTGACCACCTCATAGAGGGAAGCAACTACTCCAGGGCTGTCAAACTCGCGGCCCAAAGGCTGCATGCATCATATACTGGCCACACCCATGCCCAGTATAGTGAAGGGGGGGAACGTTGTGATATGTCAATGACACCACCATGACAACGCAAATTTGACACCCCTGTACTATTCCATCAACTGCTCATTACACCACCCCAAAGAATCAAAAACATGACAATAGGTGGGGATGAAATCATGATTTTATTGAACTCACAGCCCTTTTCACATCCACAGACCCAAAGAATGACTGACAGCACTGCCACACAGTACACCCAAGATTGTGATCAGTATCATGGATCTTATCAACCATTGCCTAACTATGTACTTTCTATTAGATAGATATATCAACAAATCAAAGAAACACCCATAGGATCATTGCTTTCAGGATTCATAACGAAGACTGTAATACAATTTCTAGAATCAATAATACCCCCATGCCGAAGTACAGATTTAGATGCAGATGACACCTTTTTTGTAATAAAAAGGACCAACTAAAGCAGGGGTAGCAGGTGTGTCAAACTCAAGGCCTACAGTATGGATCCAGCCCGTGGGGTGCTTAAATCTGGCCCCCATAGTTGGCCTAGAAATAGCAAAGGAGTGGCCTGTGCTGCCTCTGGCAGCCAAAACGGGGTATGGGGGGGGGGGGCACGGGCATTTCCCCGTGCCCCGTTTTTTGCCTGGATGGCCTCCTACAGCACTTTGCCAGCCAGCCAGCCAGCCCAAAAACGGGGCACGGGAGACCCGTGTGTGCCCATGCATGCCTCCTGTACCCCATTTTAGCCGGCAGGATGCTGCAGGAGGCATCCGTCCCAACTCGACTCCCTCGGCCAGCCCACAAAGAAGAACTATAATGTTGATCCGGCCCTTGAAGAAATCCAGTTTGACACCCCTGAGCTAAAGAATGCACACAAAACCATCAACAACATCATCAAAGGAATAACATTCACAAGGAAGAAGAAAATAACAACACACATTCCTTCCTGGATATCCTGATCAGCAGAGGCAGTGATGGTGAACTAGAAATACAAGTCTATCATAAAGCCACCCATACCAATCAAACCACCCACTCCATTACCAAAGTAACAACCCAACCTTCCACAAGAGAATCTCTGTAGATGAGCACAAACACATTGCAGCAACCCTGAACTGCAGAAAAAGGAAGCAGATCTCTGATGACCCAGTGTGGGATAAAAAACAAACACAGTCACAGAAAACAGGTGAAGCCCCTTTTATTCCTTCACTTTACTTCCAAGCTCCGAATATCCTTGACGGAAGACAAAAAACTCCCACACAAACAGTTACAAGAAGAAGGAAAAAAGCAACACAAACCAGACAAGATAAGGGCTGGAGGACGTCCACAGATACCAGAACACACACTGGGAAGGACGCCAAACTCAGAGAGGAACCATAAACTAGAGGTATTTCCATGTTTTGTTTCCAGCGTTCGCCTGTATGCAGGTCCGTCCTCTTATTCAGTTGTCACAGCTTATTCAGTTGTCACAGGTCCATCCTCTTATTCAGTTGTCAAAGCCCTCTCCTCCCTAGTAGACCACGTGTCTCCCTTATCCTCTCCTTCCTGCATGCCCTAGGATGGAGAGGGGATGGATAGGCCTGACTGCTCAGCCAGCCTCTGCCCTTCCCCAGCCTCCTCCACAACCTCCGGAGCCACACTTCCACTCCCTGTCGGCTGTTCCTCCACTCCCTCGGAGTCAGTCTCCACCAGGGGCATGAGAAGATCATTTATACAACATCTTCCAAAAAAAAACAGATATCCAATTTTACCAAAAAAATGCCTGCCACTAACCCAACATAGCACAACCAGCACAAGGCATGAAAAGGATAACTGCTATACACCACAAGCATCTCAGAAACTACCAACAGACTATAACAACCCCATGGTATCACTGTAGCACACACAGCAACTAAAGCCTTCCAAAACATCCTAAGTAAATCAATGGACCCAGCAGCTCCAGAAGAAAAAGCAGGAAACATCTACAACATACAATGTAAGGACTGCAACAGCCATTATGTAGGACAAACAGCCAGAAAATCAGCAGAGCGCATTTTGAACACCAACTAGCAACCAGAAGACATGATGAGAACTCCTTGATTTCACCACACATGGACAGATTTAGCCAAAGTTTCAATTGGGAAACTAAGCATCCCAGACCAAGCCAAGTCTAAAAACACTACAAAATTTCTGGAAGCTTGGCACTCAAGACAAATCAGCCATCAATAGGCACACAGAGGTAAACAACATCTATACGCCATTCAAAAGAGACAATCAAATATCCAAAAAGGAAACAAAAAGACCAAAACACCCCCTCACCAGCAATCAAGACCAAGATGAGCAGAGATTAATGTCAAGATTAATACTAGATGAACAATCAAGAAGCAAACAATTATCAAGCACCAGGGAAATCAGGAGATTCAGGCAGTTCAAATGAGTATAAAGATTTATTGCAAGCTTAAGCTCTCTACAAAAATCTAAGGGAAATGAGATGATATTAAGAAGGCATTCAAGGTGGACTGGATTTAGATCTCTGGTGGGCGCACAGGGACTCGTGACTGATGATGCATTTGACCCTTGAGCTCAGCCCAGTCATCTCCTATAATAGGGATGTCAAACTCAAGGCCTGGGGTGCCGAATCTGGCTTGTTGAGTGCTTAGAACTGGCCCATGGGGACGCTGTGGAAACAGTGAAGGACCGGCCTGCAGTGCCTCTGCCAGTGAAAACAGAGCTCGGGAGGGCCATGCACGGTAGCCCTTTTCATTGGCAGAGGGTTGCAAGAGGCCATCACAGCTGAAAACAGGGCCTGGGGGGAGGGTCCAAGTCCCCCCCCCCCCCGGCTGCGTTTGCTGGCGAAGTGCTAGCAAAACAAACTACTACCAAAAGTGGATTCCCCCCAGGCCCACCCGGGCCACCATAGGTGCACTTGACACGAGTGTCATTGATCTGGCCATGCCCACCGTGGCCACGCCCCCCCCCCACCCCCCCGAGGTCAAAGACAACCCTGATGTGGCCCTCAGTGAAATTGAGTTTGACACCCCTGTCCTACAACAATACCCCAATCAATCAAATCAGATGAGAAATAAAACATCCTATATTGCCTGTATCATGTTTTTTTTTACCTTGTTATTAGAGGATCAGCAGCATGATTGGGTCCCCAGCGCCCCAGCAGACCTCGTCCCACTAATCCTGTCCTGCCTACAGGATTCCTGAAAATAACAGAGGTCTGGCTGTAATCCAGTGTTTTTCAAACTTAGCAATTTTAAGGTGTGTGGACTTCTACCCCAGAATTGTTCAGCAAGGATAAAGAAAGCACAGTGAAAATACACATTAACAATGCCGACATGCCATGATGGCTCAATTTCTCTAAGCTATAGAAAAAGAAACTAACTGAAGGCCAGGCTGCAGATCTTCATGCATGAACATATCTAAAAGGTAAATTCATGTATCACTATAAATTAAAATGTGGATTTACTGATTGTAACTTTACATATTGATGGATACCTTAGTGGTATTTTGATTTATATGTGCTTTGTGAAGCCAGTGAGCTGTAGTTTATTCAATAAATTGCTTAGTTCAAAGTGTCTACTTAGCTAAAGACTGCCACGTACCTGGGCCTCCCGTTTTCCACGTTATATAAGCCACTGTGGCTGCTCCTTTCCACTTGCCCATCCTTCTCATTGAACTTTGGGAAAAAGTTTTTGGCTCTTTTCAGAAGAGAAAGAAACAAAAACAATTAAAAGATTACATAATACATCTCATGAAAATTATGAACTTTAATTCAAAACACAATTTTGAATTTATTTAAAAACAGCGAATCCCAAATAAGCCCTTTGTCAGCTGAATTTTTCATCCCTCTTCGAAAATTTTGATTTAGATTTAAAACCCCTTATCAGTTCTTCATTCTATAATACACTTCAGGCTTGCAGTAGTGATTTCTCTATGCCAGTGATGGCTAACCTTTTTGGGCTCCTGTGCCAAAAATTGTGTGCGCACTTGCATGCGCGCACTTGCATGCCAGCACCCAGAAGGCAATGTGTGAACACCCCCTGCGTATGCACATGCAATCCCCCCGCCCCCTCCCCCCCCCCCCCGCTTATCTGCACTGTGCCTCCCAGCTGATTTTCAGCCCGTTTGAGTCCTTGTTCGCCTCCCAGAGGCTTGAAGAAAACTTCTGCAGCCTTTGCAGGCCGAAAAATGGGCCCATTTCGTCAGTTCTGGTATTTCCAGAAATACAGGAAGTGATGAAACGGGCCTACTTTTTGGCCTGCAAAGGCTTTCCTCGAGCCTCTGGGAGGCCGAAAAAGACCTCAAACAGGCCGAAAATCAGTTGTGAGGTACGCACAAGCGCAGTGAGGTAAGTTTGCCTGTGGCTCGTGTGGTCGCACAAATGGCTCTGCATGACCCACCTGTGGCATGCGTGCCGTAGGTTCACCATCACGACCGCAATGCAGTTCCTCAACGACACCTTTTTACTGCCATATATTTGTGAAACCTACTTCCATAATTTTTATCACTTATGTGGTGCCTTTCTGGGAATATTTCTGTTGTTGACAATATGTGGGTTGATGAATACAAGCCGGTTTGCATGCAATTCTTGTTTTGCAATTTTGGATGAAACTAGAAGCAGGATCAAGTTTGGTCCTACTCAAACAATCTTATACACCAAGGTATCAGACCATTTTGTCTCTAAACAATTTGGCAGCCAGAATCTGGTAACAAAACATTTAAAGAAAACTGACAGAAATCTTTTACCACCAGTATATAACTCTGTTGCTGATTGGCAAAACCAACAGTTCTTTTTCTAAAAATTGTTGGAATTGTAACAATCCGATTAGATTATTTTTTCCCCATGTTAGATGGCAATATGTAATGTTTGCAATATGTTACAAATGGTGATAATTTTAGCAAATTATTTATAATGAAAAAAAACCTCTCTAAAACCTGAATTTCCTCTGCAACCTGCAATTTTTAAAGATTATCGTGTAAAACTAACCTAAATGAAATAGTGGAAATCATTTTAGCCCTATCTTTGCTATGATACTTGTAAATTCTGATTATTCACTGGGTGCTTTCTTTTGCTTTTGCATTTTTTCTCATCTTTTTCTTTCTTTTTCCCCTTCACAAAAATGTTTAACAAAATTTAAATGATAAAATTAAACAGTTTTATATAAAATAAAAATTACTTAAAATAGGAGAATAAATTTTGTTCAAAAAGCACTTTTGCAAATCAGAGACCATCATCTATACATCAAGAAAATTCAACTTTTTCAAAATGGCAATCTATCAATAGAATTTGAGAAGTGGATTTTGTTTCTATACTTAGTGTTTCTTGTCTTTCAGTGAGAAAACAAGACTATACATGTGTTACTTATCTTCATTAAAGCACTTAAGAAAGCACTTAAAAGATCATAGCACTTAATAAGATATTTATTACCACAGCTGAAGATAAAACCTATCTTGATATCAGTATTTCTCTTAGCAGGGCATACATGAAATAATGTTTTTCTCTCTTTCTGGACTCTATACTGTGTTAACAATTCAATAATGGAAGATCGATATGAAAGAAATGTTGATTGATGTCAGAAACCTCATTTTCTTAATATACGAATCAGAAACAATTTCCAGTCTTATAAGACCTAGAGGCATATTCGTTTTATAGATCTATCAGCATCCTTAAGTACAACAGAACTGGGGTATACATCACATGAATTTAATTCATATTATCCTGTAAAACCTAGAAGACACTTTGTTAAATAAAATATCCTGCAGTAGTTTCAGCAATCCAGAAATGTTAAGAGTTGGGAAGAAGACATCCTACAATTTGGTGCAAAAATCTGAAGCATGAATAATTTACCCACTATGTATTTTTCATAAGTACCCTACCCATTTTTATTTAAACAAACACAATGGGAAGTTACATATTTTTAATTAATTATCCTATGGAGTGACTCACCCAATCTCTGGGTCTGCCCACTTAGGTCCTGACAAAACACTTGGTGCCGTATAGTCCACAGGACTGTAGTCCTTCCAGATGATCATCCAGTTCACTTTATCATCAGGTACTTGTGTGCGTTCAACTTTTGATCCTGGATATGGGGATGCTCTGGCTTTCCTATGCAAATTTTCTTTTGGCCCCTTACAGTCTGACATTGTAGTTGTGCCTCTGTGGAACCAGTGATGTGAAGATGGGCTGCAGAAACAGAAGTTCATTTAGAAAGAGAGAGAAAAAGCAAATCTATGATGCTTTCTTTTTTACAGAATCTGATGTCCTACTAGGAAAATCTTGCCTGCTCATCTGCTACACTTAGAATAAAGAAGATAGCTAGCACTTAATGTATACAGAAAAATACATCTCATTAGCTTGTTAGATTTAAATAATGTGGCTAGTTTTAGCTAAACAAAATATATTTTGGAAATATAGGAAGTTTTCCCCTATTCAAGATTTTGACTCACTTGGGAAAGCTGTAATTTGAACAGTGTATAATCCAATATTGTTACATGCATACAGTGGAATGTGGAGATCTTAGGAATGGCACGGTAAGCTTTCTGAGTGTCCATTTTTCAGAAAGAAGGAAAGGATATGTGGAATGCTTAACAAATGACAAATTAATTTACTAGCCTTGATTAGATAATTAAATGATTATTGTCTCTAGCACTAATCCGTCAAGGGTACTGAGAAACAAGAAATATTCGTATATATGTACATTTATACCAAACATGGAATTTTGAAAGTCATTTGAGTTACAAAATAAAAAATGGGCACCAAAGAGGCTTGGAATGACACATAAACTCTGCTTAGCATCCGAACCAGAAGCATCTCTGTTTCATTTCATTTCATTGATTTGTTTATTATTGTTTGTTTGCTGGTATTAGGTTTGCATTTCACCTTCTAGTTAGAAACAAAGAGTAGTCGTATGTGGGGACTTTTCTCCCATTTTTCCCCAACATTTTTATGTACTGTAAGTTTGCCTTGAGAATGACTTGCTCAAAGTTAAAAACATGGGTACTTTCAGTGCCACTCAAATACCTTAACTTCAGTGGTTGTCTGACATGGGAGATTTGTATAAAAAGTAAATTAGAGCAGCCGTTGTCAAACTTTTGGACCTCAAGGACCACCAAACTCATAATTTTAAATCCCATAGACCACTAATATGAATTTTGACTGACAGTGGCTGCAGGAAAAAAGACGGCAGGAAAACTCCCCACGCCATTTTCCTATCAATCGATCATTCTTTATTTGGGATCACAGGATACTGTCTCCAGTTCTGTTCTCAGGGGGAGAGGGAGAGAGAGACTTTTGACTTCATGCAAGGAAAGCAGCAGAAGCAGCAGAAGTTTTTCTTTCTCTCCCCCAAACTCCGCCAGAAATGAGTCTTTGCTGGCGCAGCCTCTTGGAGCAGGATGCTTTGCAGGGTCCCAGAGACTCATTTCTGGTGGAGTTTGGGGAAGAGAAACAAAGACTTTTGCTGCTTTTCTTGTGTGCAGCCAAAAGCAGAAGAAAGAAGCGGAAAGAACCAGCCTGATGGCCAGGCAAGGCACGTGGGGCGAGTGGGGCAAGATCCCCCCTCTGCCCTTTCCCCCCTCCCCTCACTACCTCGTGTTGTTTGCGACGCAAGCCTTGTGTTCCCGCGGGCCATGTGGGCAGCGCAGACTTGTGTTCCTGCACAGCCTGGATTAATTGCTTTGGGGGTGCTTTGGGGGTGACATTTCTCTGTGGACCCCCAAAATTTTCTCGTGGACCACCAGTCCCTGGACCACTGGTTGGCGACCACTGAATATGAGCATGGAATAAATACCTGCAAGCAAGATTCCTTGTTGTCTGGAATACTGGAGAGAAATTGTAGCAGGACTTTTTAGTAACAACCGAAAGAGTTACAGAAAGAGAAACTACCGTAATGGTTTGGACTAGAAAACGTCTTGCCATTCCATGAAATGAGATCACAAGAAGCTGGCTTCTTCAGAATGAAACATCAAATGTGTGTAGAAAAACATGGACACCAAAACGGAAAAGAAATGGGTGTGATATATGCCGTCTTCACTTCTTCGTCACCTCACCTACAAGATAAAGTGATTATCACTATAATGTATATGTATGTATAAGTCTGATGCAAGCTGCCTATTTTGGTCAGCTGCAGACCCTATTTCAAAGTTTCTCCCCTTTGCTGATCATTTCTGTCAATTTGCTTCCCAAATCCATAGTTTTATACATCCGAAGATATTGCAATATTTATATATTAATGACAATTCGTGTTTCTTTCAGACAAATGGTTACCAAGTCTCTTGTTAAAAAAAAAAAAAAAACTTCCAGTGTTGGAGCACCCACAACCTCTGAAGGCAAACTGTTCCACTGATTAATTGTTCTAACTGTCAGGAAATTTCTCCTTAGTTCTAAGCTGCTTCTCTCCTTGGTTAGTTTCCACCCATTGCTTTTTGTCCTGCCCTCAGGTGCTTTGGAGAATAGCTTGACTCCCTCTTCTTTGGGGCAGCCCCTGAGGTATTGGAACATCACTATCATGTCACCCTTAGTCCTTCTTTTCATCTGACTAGACATACCCAGTTCCTGCAACCATTCACTCATTCATTCATACATACATATATATACAGACACAGACACACACACATATATGTTAACTTAAGAAAACAAATATATATAACAAATATATATATATATATATATATATATATATATATATATATATATATATATATATATATATATACATACATACATACATACATACATACATACATACATATATATAAAATATGTTTATCATTCCATAAACAAGGTAATTATAATCTTATCTTAGGAGGGGGAGAATGAATGAACTTTCCAGCCCACTCCTTCCTTCCTAACTCACCATCAAATTTTCTTCCTCTTCCTTGTCACGTGATCCCGCCTTCAACTAAATCGCTGTCTCGTGATTGGTTCATTTTTGAGCGCCTGTTCCCTTCTCTTACCCAGTGGCTTTACTTCTCTGCACTTCCGCCTTGCTGAGGCAATCGTAATTAAAAAGGCGCATGTAGTTCGCCTCACCTCGAGCCTCGTCGCAAAGCGTTACGTCACGTGGATGCTATTTCTGATTGGACAGTGAAGGAGCACGTGATTGCCTGTTGGCGAGCCGATCTTTTCATGCCGCTTCTCTCAATTTTTTTTTCCTTAGCCATAGAGATAGAAAAAGAGCCGCGCCGAATGACGTTATTTTGGAGGAAATGCCGTTTCCGAGATGCAACTCGCGGAGATAGAAGCCTTCTGACGTTTCTTGGTCTTATAAATTCAGAGTTTATTCCTGAAGCCATCATGTCTGGCCGTAAAAATCCGTTTTTTAAAAAAAATCCCCCGAGGTGATTCGCGTTTCTTCTCATTGGATTCAAATCGGACTCCGTTGATTCATTTATTTCAACTTTTTAAAAAATGCCCCTCAGTTTGTATTATAGTTAGAAGACCTCCAAGGTCTTCCAAAGTCTTCTAGTATAATCTTTTTTTATTTTTATGTATTTTTATTTTATAAATTATATATTTTTATGGACTAGATCTTTATATATTTATATATTTATTTATATATATATATATGAAAATCTACGAAAACAAATATATTTATATTTATATTTATATTTATATATACACATGCAGGTCTTGGCATGTTTGAGTCTTTTCCCATGTAAGATTGAGAGTATCTAGGCAACGTTTCGACGAGGTCCATATATATATTGTTCGAACACAATACAGATGAACACAATACAGAAGCCTGATGATGGCAGATGAGATTCTGCCGAAACGTTGCTACAACTTTAAAAGCACAACTATAATGACGTGGGAAAATACCTGAACAAAGCTGAATACCATACATATAAGTACCCGCAAAAACTTAAGAAAACAAATATATATATATATATATATATATATATATATATATATATATATAT